GCCCGCGCGCGTACGAAAGTGCAATTTGGCTTCTTCTACCCACACCAAAAAAAGAAGGATATGAATGGAACATTTGTGCGCATCCACAAAGCGTTTTCCTCTAATTCTCCCTCCTTTCAACATTCGGACGCGCGCGCGTGTTAACTGTTCTTGACCATTTTACATTCCTTCTATTAATGCAGTGGTCCTCACGCTCGGGACCTCTACTAACCCGACAGTCTGGAAGACCGTCATTACCCCTCCCTCGCCCTCTTCCCGCTGCAGGAACTTACCATTTCCATGCTATTGTTCACTTCCTTCAAATAGTTTAGATTGTCAAGTTGCCACAGATGGATGGCGGATCGCCTATATAACAGTCAAACCCATCCCCCTCGTCTTTTTCACACTGTTCAATAACTATCGGAAATTAAATTGTTTTTACTCCATTTTTCTCGATTTAATTGTAAAGCAAGTTGATTATACGTGACCGAATGATATCTGCAGGTGTGAAGTCTGCTATCGTAGTGAGTGATATTCTGGCTTCTCATGGACGATGATCGAGCGAAATATCAAGCAAAGGCAGCCGTTGATCGACATCAATCGAATGTTTTACAAGAGTTGCCGACTGTATCGGGTCAAAGCTCATCATCAGTTCAACCATCATTTTCTACATTGATCCAGTTCCCATCTTCAAAAATATTCAAACCAATTGATGTCGAAATTACGAATGGCTGCTTCTTCATTTTCTACAACGAACGTAATACATTTTCTTCTTCTGTGGTTATTTCTACACGTTTTTTGCTGTACATTATGCTATTTGGTTTATATTTTAAACAATTCTCTCTTGTATAAAATTTCGTTGATTCGTATCCAATTTGAATCTTTCATTATTCATGTCATTTTTAGACTTGGAAACATTATTAGAAGAATGTCGAATGATCGCAGAACCAACCGGTATATGTCCAGATAAACCAATGGATCCTTTCAGTCATGGACCACCACATATGCTTATGCCTGAACAAGTTTGTGTTCTACTTGAATACGGTAATTTCATGTTTTTTGTTTTCATGATTGCTTTCTTTTTTCATTTTGTAAAAGCATTGTAGCATATTTACGCATTACTCTACGTGACCACAGTTTGTGAGTAACGATTTAATTTAGTGTGTTCGAAAATTAATCGAGTTATTTTTTGGGTTTGGAAGGGTGGTTCGATTGAAAAGAACGTTACCAACGGACTCAAGAAAGATATGCACTAATTGTGCGAAGAAGGTTACTGTCTGTTCTGGTGGTGATAATGCGGCATCCGATTCTCCTTCTACAAGTACGAGTCACGAAGAAGATTTATCATCAAATCGTAGAATCGCTATCACAATAGCCAAAGGTCGGAAGGTTAAACTGTTAAAGCGAAAAGCATCTGAGAATGAAAATGCTTCCGCGCGTCAGGTGAGACATTCTTTCATGATCCCTCTCTATTTGCGTAATCTTCTGCATGGAACCAGACATATTGAGAATTAAATTTACTGGCAATCCTTACTACCGTTGAGCTTTCTTATTATGTGAACAGGTGGAAAGATTCCTCCGTGTTTAATTTGAACTAATAACCGGAGTTTGCAAGAGCTTTGAGCTGCTTTGATTTATGCAATGTTTGTTTTTATTGCTTCTGTCGGCTTCATTATTTTTTGCGTTTTAACTTCTTTCGCTTTTAAACGATTCAACTGAGTCATTGCAACTGGTCCACGTTGATGATCGAAGTATTATTTAGTTGAAAGTAAGACGTTGTGATCTCCAAACTACCGAAGTAACAGAAGAAGAAGTGGAATCTGTAATCAAGGAAATGAGCAAAAAAACGACACCACTTTATTACGAGGCATGGACAATACCTTTGTGTATGTTACCTGTTTAATTTCATAAATTCACTGCTCTCAACCGCAATTCTATTCTTCTCTCGTTTTGTTCGGCCCGAATATATTCATCTCTTGAATTTACAAACATTTTATAATTGTTCTCCATAATACTGCTATTTTGACATTAACACCTAGAAATTTTTCAATGGTTCCGAATGTGTTATCTGAAATCAAATATGTTTCGAATTAGTTGGTAGTCGTTTTCGAGAAATACGACATAAGTGTGTCGATGATGCACGTAAAAGCGAATGCGTCTAAACCATTAGTAAACACTTTGTAGTACTACCTATCGAAATACAACTAGAATTCAGTGGGCATTGACTTTTACAGGCGAGGAGGTTAGTGATGATTTATACGAGGTTATCGAAACGCCGCACTTCCCGGATGATTTGAATTTCCGAAGGCGTTTGTGTGTATTTCGTGATCTGTGGAGGCGTGGTTATTATTTGACGGATGGTCTGAAATTTGGATGTGATTTTTTGGCTTACGAAAATAAACCATCACGTGTGAGTTTGTTCATAAAGATTAATTCCGTTCTCTGTCGTTGTTCAACAATTTAGTTTCTGAGTTTGTTACATATATGTGGTGCGATTATTGAATCCTCTTCGAGTCATTTTTTGTGTTTGCGCGTGAAAGATAAATATCATTATATGAAGGAGGGGNAGGAGGGGTTGAGAGCATGTTAACCCATGCGAACAGTGCTATTGAACGCTTGTTTCAGAGAGCGAGTATTTAAGAATTCCATTTTTTTGCATTTCGGATGTTCAGTTAGGCTTAGGCAAATTGGGAGGAAATAATTGTAACAGATCTCATTAGGGAAAATAATTGCGCTGTAAATGAGTCTTCTGTTGCAGCCATTTGTTATGCTTTGAGTGTGTTGAATTAAGCAGTGGTACGAATGTTTTAGAGGAATGTTTGATGACGGTAAAGAATATGAATTGTTTGAATGTTAACAATTTCATGGTTGATAAGGGAAGTGATGATATGTGTTAAATTGTAGATTCATTCGAAGTACATGGTAAGGTGTGTTGATGCAACGGATTCAATGCAACCGCTCGATATGATAGCAGTTTCTCGTGTTTCGTCGCAGGTCAACAAACTGATTTTGATCGCTGTTGTTTCGTTTGATTCACCGTTCCCGTACTATGTGCAGTGCTCCTGGTGGAATTCGTAGCTCTTTCCCTCAATTAGTTGGTATTCTCAACACCAAAAGATATTGGGTGTTTTTAGGAAAATGAAATTTGAGGTATACCAAGTCGATTATTAACCTGAATTAATGTTGATGGTTCCTTATGGTCATTTGTAAAATTTTTCTTATCTTCTNTCTTCTATAATACTATTGTAAGCGTAATTTTCATTTATATTTTCACTTCAAATGTGAATGAGCACTTCTTTATTTATTTTTTAAATGAATCATGAATTCGGTGATGATGTTAAAATCTTATTATTTAATGGCATCCTTCCTCTTGGTATTTTCTGTCATTCAGTGATATTTGGGTGGTTTCAATTCTTCGATATTGAACAGCTGTTGAAAAACTGGTTTGAACATGTGATATTACATTAGATTGTTCGATAATATCGATGAAAGTTTGGTCTTGCCCAGATGTCTAGTTTTACACAGTTTTTCTGGAATTGAATCATCTAGTCGTTTTAATTATGGTCAGATGTGTTCGATTCCTTTGAAGTTTCGTATTCATTGTTGATTTTAGTATTTGTTGGATATTGTTTATTTTAAAAGAATTGAAATTTTGGAATAAACTTCATCTCATGCACTGATTTGTTCAGTGAAATTGCTTAGCGGTCAGCTGTTCATTCCCGCACATTATCTTGCTTTCTGAGCTATTCGGTAATTACTTCGCGATTACTTCTTCCTTTAAGCGATTTACGAATGCAGTGTGCTTCAGTCTGATCGATCTGAATGGGTTATTCTTTTAAAAAATTTTATTACTATTTATGTCCTCTGATTTATCTGTTTTAACGACTCCTTTGAAAGAATTCAGTGAATGCAAATGTAATATATGAAATGTTATCACACGTACACTGTGTGATAATACGTCATACCTTGTTTGGTTTAGGAATTTTGAAAGTTATTATGTTGAACCGTCTAGTAACGATGTTGATATTGACGATTTTTATGTTTGCGATTGGCGTGTTCTTGAGCCGAGCGAATATTTTATTTTAGAGACGTCGGGTTCATTCTGCCATTCGTAAGGTTTCGCAGCTGCTTTGTTCAATAACTGTTATTGGTTGACCGTTTTGACTTGGAAGCGGTCGCGAAACTTTTTCTGTTACATCTGAAATGGTGAGAAATTTGTTACATGTGTATGAATTGTTACAATTGATCACTGAAATACGAACATAATTATAATTGTTGACCACTGCCGGATCAGATGTATTT